TGATGCATTACACGTCCGAGCGTGTTTCCGCCTTTTGAAGACGTCACGCGCGCATTCAATGTTATGAATAATGCGCCATATGATTGTGGCAATATTTATAGCCTATGGAAATAACGTGAAACTGCTACCAGATGTACGCCGACCCAGAAACGTATTACGATAACTTATGAATCCCAATAATTAGAATCGATATCATATTTATTACGATACACCGCCAACTGCGATTACATCTCTGACACTATTTCTAATTCCTGCTGTCATCTGATTGACGCTAGGCTACCGATATCAACGTCTCGAAAAGTTTCATCGCTTCTTTACGTTAAACATTCGACTGGCCAAGTTTTTCAGGCGAGTATTAGCGAGCTAACTTTAGGCTAATATTAGCGAAATCGTCCAATCTCCGCAAGTATTACTCAATGCATAAAATTCCGAGTATCAAAGGATCTAAATCATCCCTTTCAGTTCGTCATGCGTGATAAAACGGTGGGCTAGCATCGTATTTTTGCAACGATGATCGCGGCGTGACGAAACAATGCCATCGTGACACGATAAAGCCGGCGACGCCACGCGTGCATTCATGCGAACGTGCGTGCTGCAGTTGCAGCGACGCAGCTCAAACTCCCACACAGATCTCTTACGCACAGTGAGCTCGTCGAGATAGTTTATCTCTAAAGATATTAAATATCAAGATATAAAATTACTAATCATACTGCAACCTGTTTAAATATGTTACTCGTTGGACCGTGGACTAATCACAAGATAAAATAACTGTACTGTATTTTAAATGTCAAAGGCACGGATATTAGTCTCTTTTGATTTAATGTATACGCGAACGTATTTTCGCGTTTCCTTTTCTTTTATTCACAAAACAAAGATCTCAACCCCAGTCCATTTTTGCGAGACACCTAATAATTTCTCCAACCTAATTGCGATATTTAAATCGATGTTTAAATTTTAATGAAACAATATTCCTTTCTTCTCTGTCTTCGGTTTCTTCCAGAAAAAAAAATTGAAGGAAAGGGAGTACGAGTGTCTCGGACTTTCCGCGTGGTCTCGACGTACGGCGGTGCGGCCCTGCGAAGTAGTCACGGCCGGTGCTCGTCAGCCGAAATTCCGGCCTTTATTCGGCACGCTCGTCGGCTCGAAACGAGCCGGCTCTCGCGTATCGGCGACGCCTACTACTATTGTCGCTGTCGTTCAAAGCGCGCGTCCGCGGCGGATACAATATGGGACTGTCCGTCACGACGGAAAACCGCGTGTTTTCAGGACGGAGGGAACGCACGCGTGTCCTGACACGACGCACGTATTCGCGGCGGTGTATCCCTCTCGTTTCACGGGACGCCGCGTCGAGTCGATCCGGCCTGCCAATCCCGCCCATCGTTTTCACCGAATACAGGCTTCTAGCCGGCTCTTTCCCGCCGATCTCGCGCGTATAATGTGTCGAAGCTAATATACGCGGGAGAGACACGTTTTTCCATCTTATCCGACGTGGCGCTTGTCACGCGTGTCATATCGGCGGGACCTGTCGTCGTCGAATCTCTCGCCAAGCCGCGAGAGATTCTCAAGTATATTCGACGACGGAGAAAAGCAAAGTGTAAACGTTGAAAGACTAGAAATAAAATTTCTAATTACTGATCCGTCCTGATAATCAAATTAATGCTTCAAGGAATTTGAAACGGAACTCCAGTTTGAAACTTGGCCCGTGGAATATCGCGGTGCTCGCGGAAACGCTTCGCTCTCGTATGGCGAAGGAAGATGATTAGTATTACGGTGAAATGACTTCCGAGCGCTCCGAATGGCTGTCCACCGTGATAAGATGGGCGAGCTAGCGCGGCTTCTCTAATTCATGCTAATTTCGAGGCGAAAACTTTTTGCATCGCTTAATTCAATTAGTTCCGCTGTTTGAATGCGGCAATTAGCATATTAACCTGACTGCGCGAACCTCCCGCGTGCTGGGCCGCGCGCACCGGGTAGTCGCGACTTTTCGACTTTTACTCCTTCACCGGGTGTCCCGCTCATTATCCGGACCTGTTTCGAACGCTATTATGATGCAAATTGAAAGTTAATATTTTTGCCCGCGACGAAAATATTATCGTGGCGAAAGTAGCGAGGCGTCGTAAATCCGCAGCCGGAATCCAATTTGAAACCGCGTCGAGACGATGCTGCTCGCGCAAATTTGCATAATCGAGTTGTCGAATTTTGAGGGCAGACGCCACTTTTAATCCAATTAATCTTTCTCCGCCGTCAACAAGGTCAATGTGTCGAACTCGATCAAAGCGCAATTAATCGTATCTTTAACAAACTACAACAAGACTAGCGCGACCATAAATTAAATTGCTAATTCTAAAGCCCGTATCATACTACGCATTGAGATCGAGAGTAGATGAAAATTTGACGAATTAAAGTCACTAAACTTGAGATTAGCAAACTTTACTCCGATTGGTCAAATTTCAATCTAATCTTAATCTCAGTCCGTAGTCTGATACGGGTTTAACTATGTTACTGTAAACTATGTTCAAGGTATAAAACCTTTGAGATTTTTCACGTGTTAACAACGTTACTCCCTTTATCTGTAACGAAAACGAATTCCGGGGAATCCAGTTACGGATAATTTAACGAAATCGATCCCCGAAGAGTCGAAAGAGTTCGCGCGGCGGGATCGACGTAGCCGAGGGTCGGACGGGGAAAGTTACCGAGCCAAAACTCTCTGCTGCGCTCATCGTCGAAAACGCGGAACGGACACAATAACTGATCGCTCCTACAACTTCTTTCGGCGAGCTCTCATTCAAGGCCGCCGGCATTGTCGGAAACCTTCCACGGCTGTCCGAATGAATAACGCGCGCGCTTTTGTGCGCCTGTCGGAAAACGTTACGCCGCTCCGTTAATAAGTCGTACGATAAAATTGACGCAACGAGTTCTGCGGACACGTCACGTTTAACGGAATAATTAATGCGCGGAATGAAAACGTAGATAATACGGGACTATCTCGATACATTAATCGGACGTTGAATACCTCCGCATCGCTCCGCTCCGAGCGCGAGGTAACATGATCTTGTAGATCTATCGAAAGAGATATTCGTAAAAAGATGTGTCGTACATATTTAACCACTAAGTCGTAATTCAATGCAATTATAATCAAATGAGCTATTACTGAAATTTGAAAATAAGATTTAAATTGTTCAGCGTACGATACACGACGTTGATAAAAACATGATTCTATTATACCATGTTGTGACAGTCCTAAATAGGCCCGTCCTAACGTCACGGAATTTCAACTTTAGCTTAATTTACTTATCGTCTCTTTCTGTTTCTCTTGGAAAAAGACACAGTGAATTAAGGTAAAGTTAAAGTTAAACGAGACGTCGGTGTAACTGAGCCTTAGTAGTTTTAACCAACACTACAGACCGGTGGTCTTATCCGAAAAAAAGATGTTTTAAGATAAAAGCTGCTATATGTCACTGACCCGAGGTAGGTTATCCGAAAAGGTCATTAATCTGAGGAGTTTTCCCGAAGCTTATCCTATGTTACCGTGAACCGTGTAAGATACTTTATAAGATAAATGCAAATGAAAGGGAAGGGTAAAACAGAGCGTAACATTTTTCCTATAAACATTATTAAACTATTCCAAATTTCACGTAGATGCAGAACGTACGTCGGACAATCGTTAAACATTTAATTTAAATCAGGGCGAGCCTTGTGTCTGATAATTTGCAAGGTAATTTTCCCGGCCGAAAACTTGGTCGGGAGGTAATCAAAATCGGGCAAATTAAATCGCGAATAAAATTGTTACATTCAGCAACTTTTCAGGGATGCGCTCGTTTTAAACGCAAATTGCATTTCGCGCGGCGATCTGAACCGGAACGAAATTCTATATGCAATAACGGTAAGTTAACTCTGCGTCAAGGTTGTTTAGTGTATACACGAATAAAATTTATTTCGTGAATTCGAAACCGTTTAAATTTCCGTGCGCAAATTACTTTTCGTTATTATATCGCACGACGAAATACATCCAAGGGAAGGAGAAATAAAGGCACATCTGCCGCGCTCTTTATGCCATCAAACTTTACTCCGACCAAAGTTTTATCGATCACTTCGAACTCGGCAGCGCCAAGAGATTTTCGTAGTTAAAATATTCTCGTTGGTCTTCTTGCGAAGAAAAGAGAAGAGGAAAGACCTCGATTAAACGCATGCAAATGCGATTGCACGTGACGTTGAAAGAGTTTAATATCTGTCGTGCCTCATATAAGAGTCATTGTGCGCGCGTGAGAGGAGGGTTAAATGAATTTCATTAACTCGTTAGGTCCACCGTCGTCGTCCTCATCGTTGTCGACGTTACGCAGCACGCGAAACATCGTTAATTTCGGAGTAATCGCCGTATTGGCGCGTGCAACGAATATCCTCCTCTCTTTCATGTCCTAACGACAGCGAGAGACACAGAGAGAGAGAGAGAGAGAAGACGCGATCCAATTTACTATGGAGATTCTACGTCACCCCCGCCTGTCCAGGAAATCAATTACGTCGAATGAATACAACATGAAGGGTGTAAAGGGTTAGCCGCGCGTCCGCGACCGGTGACCGGAGCGTTGAGCGACACGACATCGAACGCGAACGTGAGGAGGAAATTTCAAGAGAGAGAGAGAGAGCCGACGCAAAGAGCTGGACAGATTTGATTTGTCAGGACACAGAAATCGCTGCCGACAAATCTCGTTACAGCTCGAGCCGACGCTCGTGATTAGGGCTTAAAGTTTCCGCCCCTTACGCTCGGGCAACCTTCGACCACTCGATAGGGACGCCAAAGTCTTACAAAGGTGACGAACATTCCACAAGAATATAAGTAAAAATACCAGAATAATTAACGATTTAGACGATATGAGAATTTGCAGAAATAATTAAAAAATTATTCATTGGATTTTATCGCGGCTGTTTCAAGACTTTCATTTGCGTCGAAACATAAAAATCATAAAGCGGCAAAGCGTGCAATCTTAAAGAATATATCGAACCTTGGCGGGATCGGACTTCTCCTGCTGTTCGTTGAAGGTCTGCGAAGCTCTGGACATGGTGTTCCTTCGGGATGTCGTTGTGCCATCTTGCGAGGGGCGCACGAATTCGATTCTGCCACCCTCGACAACGATGTTGGGGGCTGGTGGAAAGTTCTCCGTGTTACCGACCGTGTCGCAGTAGCCCAAAAGGCCGGCTTTCTCCCCGTACAGGGGGTGGATTTGCCTGCAACAGAGGGTAACTCGTTAGAGAACGTCGACAGTAGATGGTGCCTTATGCCGAAGAATCAACGCACTTGCTAATAACAACCTTTTATTAATTATTGCAATATTTAATTTTTTCTTTTTTGTAAAATAATACAAAATACTTGAAGGAGAGGAAACGTTATTCTTCGATTAAATTTTAGTATGTAATTTGAAAATTTTATCTTAAAATATGCTCTGTTATTTTAAATGATATAATTTTCTAACTAATACGTTACGCTATTAAAAATATGCTAGCCTTATTACTACGGCGAATATTCGATATGTGTCTCTTAATTTCTTTCGTATAAAGAGGATTATTGAATAATTTAATAATGGGTAATACCGGGTCGTACGGGCGTGCACTCTAGCCTTGTGCAAGCAGAGAAGAGTTGACTTTTAGTGCTATGACAAAGGCAATTCGCTCGACAATTCTCTTTGCAACACGGCAACATCTGATACTCGTGTGCAAACGCGGGTGACCGATATTGCGCGGACAGATGCATTTGCGTATCAATGTCAATAATCTTGCCGGGGAGCGGCGTCGCGCGGTCGACGATAGGATTACAGAGCAGGAACCGTTCCACTTTCGACCATTATTCTCGAGTCTTAAATCCATCTAGCCTTAAGTCTCTTCGCGCGACGCGTATGCAAATGCGCGTATGCAAATGCCCGTCTCTCTTTCTGTACCACTTTCGTCGACAAAAATGTAGGATCAATGGAAGTCTGCCGGGATTTAAGAGCAGAACTTTCAAGTTCAAGAGAAAGAGATCAAGTTTTTACGGGCACGAATGCAACCGTAAGAATTTACTTTTGTTATAATAATGACGATTACAGAAGAGAGAAAAAGAATTATTTGAAATATAAATCTAGTCAAAATGAAATTGAAATGTTGAGGAAGTTAATACGGAAAATACGTTTCTGTCAATTTGGTTTTCGCACTTTTTACATTACTTATTTCTCATATTAGCGTATTGCGTAATTGTACCGAAATGACAATGAATTTACCTGGGGGATGGTATGGGGCGAGGCTTGTCAAGTGCCAGATCCGAGTTGAGGGGCGAATCGGGTCCGCGACCGCTGGAAGCCCTGAAACATAAACGGAATTATTGTTAGTTAAATTAGTATTCGATAGCCAACGGCTAACGATCGATCGATGAAGCTCTTTTACGTCCACCATCAGAGTTCAACGTTCTCTCAAGATTCGTCAATTCACATCAAACTGATAATATTGCGATGAAATATAATTGCGTTTAGATCTCGCTGTCTCGTGACAAGGTTTGACAAATGCGATCTGTGATTTATAAATAACAATTAAATGCAACTCCATGACATCAAGATAGTTAAATATAACGGGAAAAGTTTGGAGGACTGCAATATTCATTTCTAAGTAACAATTCTCGATTGTAAAGCTAATTACGATAATTATTCGTGGCTATAAATCAAAAACCTTGACTTTCTCACGTGGAGAGAAACGCTATTCATATTCTTTGCACACTTTCAATTTCGACTTACAACATAATCACGTCTGCTCGATTGAAACCGAAACGTGCCTCGATTTAACATTCGCGCGTGGCAGCTGATAAACGCGATTAGAGAGGTCCGTTAGGCACGCGCGCATAAATCCTACGCGAACGAGGGAGGTTCGTTCGAGATACGCTTTCGCCCGCGAATCCGAGAGATTCTCACAGCGGGGAGTTGTCGTAGCGAGATGAAAAGTTCGAGGACCGGGGAATGTGGCGTTGCGCAAGAGCGTGATTCCGCGTGTACCTCGCTCGCGCGTGCATTGCCACTTCAATATTCATATTTCATCCGCCCGTCGACTGGATATCGACCGTTGATTCTGGCACGTGAGCTAACAAGTCGGGCGAATAATTCACAACCGTGGGGTTCGATAGAATAATCATTTGACAGGGTAAATATAACGAACGCGCGGCGACTGCGGAATTAAATTAGGAGTTTATGTTCCGCGGAAAGTGTATCGTTACGCGTGAGAACATTACGAGGAAATGATTAAAAGATACGAGGAGCTCAATATATAGAGACCAAATTCTCACATTCAGACTTTATTCCAAATAAACTTGCTATCTGATTATTTATCTTACTGTGTATTATTTCCAGGGACAGGAATACGTTGAGCAAAGGTCATTCAACTCGTATGTAAAATTTAAATTATGTACAAATAACGTTTTACCGCGGATCAGAATTGCCAAAAGGTTTCCGCATTAACTATTAGTTACGATAAGGGCGATAGGAGCATATGCCGATAAAGCGTTATTTGACCATGTGTTTGTAATGAGATGAAACGAAACGGAACACAATAGTTCATTGTTTGACAAAATAAATATCGACATGTTTAATTTGATGTCAGACGTTTCGGTTACGGAAGGTAACCCTTTTCAATGGCAAACAAAGTAATTATTAATGCGCTAATTATCAGCTAAATTTCGAGTCCGTCGTTCGCTATTGCCATGTACAGACGTTGTACTTAGCTTTTCTTTGTCTAAGATCTTACACTGACCGTTTCGTATAACAACGGACCTTCGACGATGCAAATCTCAATACCTTTTCAAGTATTCGGTGTTTGCATGCACGTGTCCAACGGATTGTGGAGAATTTGACAAGTTGAACATTGATACGAATCTCCACAACTCTAACCACACCGTTACTGTGGAGAAATAAATCCCCGTATCCACGACACACACCAGCGAAGCGATATATGTCCGAAATTTAGCTAATAATTAGCGCATTAATAATTATTTTTTTTGTCACTGAAAAGGGTTACCTTCCGTAACCGAAACGTCTGACATCAAATTAAACATGTCGGTATCACATCGTCAAATATCGTTTTATCATATGCTCCTATCGCCCTTATCATAACTAATAGTTTTTTCTCAACGGAACTTATTAATTAATATACTGCTTCCGCATAATTTTTCAGATTTTGCGAACGCCCTTGTACTTTCAGAGCAACTCCATCGTGTTCTTCGCAGGGATTACTTAAATAATTGCCAATTGCGACAATAGAACGCCGCTCACGCGAATCCGCTCAACGATGGTGTTTTTGCTCCTTCCCGGTCGCTCGCTTCCGCTCGCAAATCCTCTCAGACCGCCGCATTTGGAGCTCTTGGCAGCCGCTCAGACGTTCGCGATGAAATATCTAGCACGAGTGACTTTGATTTTCCATGGCGTGCGCTCCAAACGACGAGAAGACGCGGGAGTGCGTGCGGCGTGCGTGTTCACGCTCGTCCGCGAGTGCGTCAACATATTGCTCCGAGAACCAGGAAGTCCCCATTGCTATGTGTGCGCGAGACGTTTTCGATACCCGGTGTTGAATGTCGACCAAGTTTCGTTTCGGATGTCGAGTAAATTTAACGAAATAAATATTTTAGTCCGACGATAAAGATATGTTTTAATAAACAAACGTATTTCACGTTCAACTAAATCTCTCGCAAATCAGGGATTGGAAAAGCTTTTCCGGATCTCTCATAAACATGCCGTAAATCTCGAGTTTATTGCACAGCAACGACAATTGCTCCGACAGAGACGTATCTTGTAATCAAGCTTAAATGAGACGGAGGAGAATTAATGGTTCCGCTTCAATTGCACACCCGATATACCCGTCGCTCGCGCAGGACACACGCATACGCGTCGCGCGACAGCTGCGTCCGTATGGAAGCGCAACGAAATCTCGCTCTGACCCTCTTGCTCGCATTCTCACGCGGAATGAAGGGTGGGTGAGTCAGCCTCGCTGAAATTCTAAAATCGCCTGTTTCCGAAAAGTCTATTACGGAGCACTTAGAGTCACGCGCCTCGGTATTTCTGCGCGTGCAGCCACCAGAGACCTGGACCGCGCGCGTTGCTCGCCGATGATCGTTGCGCTCGCCCGTGATTTATCGATTTCTTCATTTTCGACGAAAGCCTCTCTCCAGCCGGTCGAACAAAGAAGATACCGTGGAAGTCATGCGATAATTCATTTTCCCCGGCGTTGCCTCAGGCGAACAAGGCGATGGTTTCAATATTTAAATCGCATCTATCTTATCAACACAAAAACAAATTTCTCCTACGATATATGATTTTTCTACGCTAATTTACAAAGTTTAATTGCACTTGAAGTTCTCCGCTCGAGAAATATAATTTACGAATGGGATCGTGGAGCGAGAGAAAAATATCTCGTTTCTACACGTCGTATCGCATGTTTCAATCGTGATGAATCGCGGGGAGAGAATCCCGAGCTTTTCAAATCTCTTCCGTAAATGTTGCTCGTCCTTTCTTCTCGCGGTAAAAGCCGCGCGAATACGTCTGAAAAGCAACCCCACGCGAAACGTGCGGCGGTACTTAGCCACGCCGTTTATCCTCTTTTTCAGCGGCGCCATTCGCTCTCGTGTAACTTGGCTCAATTGCTAGGTCGTTAAGTCGTAACTGAGAAAGGGACGAAGAAAAAAAAATGAGAGGAGATAGCTTCGGAAAACAGCGAGGAATCGGGCAATCTCGGAACTTGGCGCGTTGCGAATTGAAACAGAATCCAACGCTTCGTCAACGTCGTCGTCGTCGCCGTCGCCGTCGCCGTCGTTGTCGCACGACGAGAGACGCTCCCTTGCTCGAGAAACCTAATTTGTCGGCCGGGAGTCGCTTTTACGTGTCGTAAAAATTGCGACGTAATGTCTTCCGACGTCGGGAAACGCGACGGCCGAGAATGAGTTATTTCGCGCTCACTGTGTCTGTCATTCCGCAGCGGGAATAAAAACGACGGTGGAGGCGGGGAAAGAGCCTTTGAAAGAGAGTCAACGGAAAAATAAAATCACCGCGCGGGCAAAAATGCGTAACGACGAGATCGCGTAGTCGTCGTATTTCGCTGCGAAAGCCGGGTAGGTCGATGCCACAATTCGAGAGTGGCTGTAATTCTAAATGAACGGCTTAACGTTGTTCACTCAGTCCGTGTGTTGAAAGCCAGATTAAATTACAAATTAAAAAATCTCCTAGACCTAATTTAATAAGAAAATGTCCATGTTTAATTCATTTTTAAATAAAACTTAAGCATAGAGAGAAAGAGAGCTTCGATTGAATATTTCTCAAGTAAAAAATCTCTTCTCGACTTCAAAGTACCTAACAAAATTAATTTCAATAATCAAGCTTTTTTTGGTCGACATTAACCGGCCAGCGTCCAAGCGAGAATTATTTTCAGAAAACGTGGGCGAGGAGTACTTTGTCGCGACGCGGTTTTAAGGGTGCAAGAGTCAACCGTAAACGTTCGACGACCGAGAGGACCTCGGACGTCAGGGTAATCGCGCGATTTACCGAAGGAATCGTAGCGCTCCTTCTTCCTGCCCGCACTCCGCATAACGTAATCCGCGATAGGCCGAGGTGCAGCAGTCTGCAGCCGGTAACGGTACACCCGCCATGCGAATATTCCTCGAACGAAGCCGGTATCGGATGTGCACGTGCATTAGCGGGCGTCGGATCCCTTCGTCTTCGCGCTGTAACACTATATGCCTTCTCCGTGCGAGAGAGAGAGAGAGCACGTCGGCTCGCAATGTGTCGCCGCGGTTCGCGCAGTCCGCTAACGAGAACGTTGGCAGGGACACGCAATTATTTTCAACACACGAGTTACGTTATCGTGTGCGATATCTCGCGAGAGAGAACGCGAGAATATATTTCAGTGAGCCGAGACCGAGAATGCAATTAGAACTATTTATCCGCGTTATCGATGATAGCCCTCTGGCAAAATGCATGCATTTCCAAGAATAATGTTATCCGATTACTATCTAAATGTAAATTCTATACCAATTAATACCGTTTATACAAGGTTCCGTTCAAGTTGTTCGTTCACTGTATCGGCAAAACTCCAATCTCACAATCGGTAACGGATATGGAAATTTATTCCCTTATAAAATCTGGAAATTATAGCAAATTTGCGACACCGCGAAAATAATATTATATCTTACAGAATGGTATCGAAACCGTTGATTAAGCAATCGCCCGTAACTGTTGGGAAGGATTAATTATGAAACATTAGTGAAGAAAACTGCGTCGATTCATTACAGAATCGTCCGCGGCAGACGGGGGCATCGGCGCAATTTGCCATCCCA